TTATCACTGCGACAGCCTGAAAATTCAAGCTTTTTTATGAAATATTCCATGTTATAAAGTTTAAAAAAAAACATTCTGTAATATTGCTGGAAAACCGCATTCAATATTTAGTCACACACTAAAATTCTTACACGAGCTCATAACCTACCAGGCGTAGATTTCTTATACTTTGGAATAAAGCATGTAGTCGACTTCTAACGTTTATCTAAAACTCAATTTTTCTTACTTGAGCATTGGCTTGAAACCATTTCTTTCCTTTAGCATGTGGGACGTTTTTAAGTGCACAATAGCAACAACACCAGAATACGACTGGCAGTTTTCCTTTTTGTTTTTCCTTTTGCATATTCCTTCAAATTAAAAGAGTAAGAGGAAAAATTTCTCTAGTTGTAAAACAGTAAATCGTTATATCCGCATTTAATGCTAACCATGACTTTTTTTAAGCCGTGCAAGACGCAAAATCCGCTTTACGAATGACCGGTATGAGGTAATAATGCTTTTTAACATTTTTAAAGCAAAATGTTTGACGTATATACCATGTGGATGGAAATAAATAAATGGCTAATACAATAGATATGTATTTATTTACCCATAAATAGATTCCAGACGCCATTGTCTTGAGCAAGGCTTAGCAGATACAACGAGAACGCAGGGATGGGAAAGAACAGCAAGCTATAGAAGAAGTTCCAATCTACTGCAAACATTAAAAATAGGGAACATTTTTTTTAAATCTTTTTTAAACTATTTAAGAAGTTGGAAATTTCTGGAGTAATAATTGGCTACTCACAGCATGTCTGCGTATTGGTTCTGCAAGGACACCGAATATTTTTTCAATCAGGGCTTCCCAATAAAAGCAGTAGCTTTCAGAATTGGAGATAATGTGGTTTTCCTTGCTCCATTCAGATATTGTTTGAGCATGGCATGTGGAAGTCCCGAGAGTTGAGCGGACATAATTGCAATTGAATAGAGTGCAATATGAATATCAATAATCTCAGAAAATATGCAACAAATGAAACCTTTTCCAAACTTTATAACTGCATAATCAAAAGGTGTAATAATTACGATTTGACTTCACAGAAACACAGACAAAATATACCTCGCGTAAAAGTTACAATCATTCTTATATTATTTTATCTCTCAAAACACCCCGATGTAAAATTATTTATATCTATCGTTCACATCGATCTAATAAAGCAATGTTTTTTCAACATTGTCAGTGACGCGAATCCCAATGGAACATGCCAGAGGTGCGAGGAACCCAAGTGTAACACTTGTAGGGCTGTTTGTAAGAAGAAATATATAAACTATGAATATACATAAAATCAAGCCTAATACTTATAAACAAATATTCTTTAAATATAGCAAGTTTAATAATAGTGATAAGCCTAATGTGGTTATATTTAAACAACCTTCATATAATAATATATACCAAGGTGGTCCAAACCAGGCCCGTGGGTCACATGTGGCCTCGCCGCTTCATTATCTGTGGCCCGCGTCGCTTTTGCGAGAGGGTAAACAAAAAAAAACGTATTTGGTGCTGTTTTGTCATAAAAATAACCAGAAAAATCTTTTTACAAATTGTTACATCACTAATGTCAATGGATTGACTAGTGTTATGGCTATCTGAGGCTAGTCTACATTGTTAACTGGCTGTCTATTGTTTTTGTCGGGAATATATGCTAACAAAATAGGCTTCATAGAAAACTAAAATCGAATGAGAAATATATTAGCCTAGGTTGGTTATGCTTTATAACTAAATATTAAGGTAATGGCCAAACAATATAATTCCTCCCGGGTGTTTTTTTTTGCAACAATGACAAATGCCTATATGTCAGAAAATTTAGTATTTACCCTCCTGTATCTGAAATTTGGTAACCAATCAATCTGCAATTATTTGTAAGTTATTTTGTAAACATGAGTTTAAAAAGAAAGCTGGTCATTTAAAACAGACAATCTAAAATGGCATTTTCTCTTTTTTGAACTTTCTCCGTTATGAGTTTAAAATCTTACACTAAATGTAGTTATAGTAAGATTTTTGTACGTTTTAGTGAGTTTTTGCATGTTTTATCTTGATAAATGATAAATATCGAGCAATGTGTTTGGACAATAAAAGTGGTTGTATTGCACTGTTTACCTATTCTTGGCGCTATTGTGGGCCGCGTACAACACAAAAAAATATTAGTGTGGTCCGCAAAGCCGACAACCTTAGACCACCCTGATATAGACTATCGGATTTAGATAAAAACCTGCGAAACCCCTGGGCTGCACTGACAGAACCCTGGCTAAAACCACTGCAAAAACTAACACTGGTTTAATTATAAAGACAACTTGATAAATACGACCTCTACACCAATTTATTAGTCGTCACTCGATGACACACAGTATTACGTCACACAACCTGATTACATTGCCTTTTGTTCTAGAACCTGTGCTTCGGGAGCACTATTGATGACAAATAAGCGGAACTATATGCTACCAACAACTACGTTATATCTATACAATCTGCACTGAGTGGCCATAACTTTGGCGTTGATGGAAAAGACTGCATCGTATAATGCAGCAGCAATCGTTTATATTTTTATATCCTGAATTTGTGGCCGGTGCTCGATTTAATAGCGAGTAGCTATTATGAGCATCATGGGCCATGCCTCCATACCGTGACAAAAATTTTCAGAAAAAATGATTGGAACACCGCTACAAAATTTACGTCAATAAACCATTAAGAATAAGGAAATGAGCGTTTAAAATATTTTGCCATTTGACCTAACATCAGACTTTTTCAAACTTCAACAATCGCAGATGAAATAGCAATGCTAAAATGAAACAGCACTCTAACTTGATTTATTTAGGAACAAAAAAAATTCTCAAAATACACGGTGTCTTACAAGTAAGTATACACTTTAAATTTTGATTTGCTTTCAGGTACTCATCATAGAGCGTTTATTTCTTCAGAAAACATAGTATGGATAAGTAGTAAAATTTAGGCATTGTTTGCATTTTTCATCAACCCACAAAATGGTAAGGAGATTAAACCTAAAAATGAGGCCAGGCCAGCTATGCATAGACCAGCTATATTATAGTATCTGTACTTATGTCTCATTACAACACAGAGTTTGAAAATATAAGAAATTTGCGGCGGTGATTGAATTCTTTATGGCGTTATTGAATTTATGTTTCACGTCTATATCAAGGTCCCAAATGTTTTGATACACGTCTATAATAACATGCCACAGCGAATTAATGACTGAATATTGTGCGATACAGCAGATAGGCTGCATCGTAACGTCTGTGAAAACAAGTCATATTAATGGCGCGAGGACAAGATATTAAATCGACATCTTTCGAAAGGGTCGAGAACTAATATTTGTTTTCATACTTCCGGATACATAAATAGGAGCTCGCTAAAACGGAGTCATCACATAGTCATAGCCAACTGAATTAGAGAGATGACTGGAGCAAAACCTACCAATACTTTTAAGGCCGCAACTAAAGTAAGCCTTAATGAGAGATTTACCAAGCTAATGCATAGCCGACCTCCAACCGTAATAGAGGCTAGAATCCCGACTCACAGCACAAGACCGGAGGGCGTGGAATTTCAAGAGGAGCAAGATCCGCTGTGTTATCACGCTTGTGACATAGAGGAGCAACGTTACAGACCAACTCAACGCGCCAATATGGAAACAATTTGGTTGGCACAACAAAAAGTAAAACACGAAGAGGTTTCGTCCGAAATGTGTTGCAAAGTAAGCGAAATAACAACAGAGGAAAGGGCCGCGGTTGATTGAAAAGAGTTACTCAACGAAATTGACAAAAACCAGTTGACAAAACATCACTGGATGCGCAGATAGACAGTTATATATCTAAAACCAAAAGCTCAATGGACGCCGAACTTGATGCGTATAACGCAGCAAGGCAAAATGTGCTCATACCAAAGTGATTCCAATTCGTATTACATTCAACATACAAATGAAATTTGGGTTACCAAATTTATTTTCTTTTTCTCTACTTAATACACCACCACATAAACTTTTCCAGTCCCCCCCCCCCCCTCTACATGTATCGACTTATTTGTGTCAATACTTATCACCATGTAAAAATATTAGAATGCAAGTCATTTAGTTTTATCTGATATCTATTCTAGCCAATTTTTTAAAATCATTTAGATATATATCATGAACATCGTACAACGGAAAAATTAGTGTATACTACATCAAGTTTTAGTTTAATATAATATAAATGTAATGAATACAAACGTTAGTTCAAATTTATATTTATTTTAATACGGCCTGTGTGCTGTTATCGAGCTATCACTTCTATGTTACAGTGCTAACAGTCTCCCCACTCTGCAATATTAACTGCAATTATGATTATCATCATTGTAATTGTCTTCGTGTTCTTTGATATTTTTGATAGCGTCTTTGTAATATTGTTTATTCTGCAATTCTGGCATCGCCCGTTTTTGAGTTTTTTCTTCCAACTGAAAAAACGAATTTTTTGACAACTTCCCATAACTGTATAGTGTAGAGGGATACAAACTGCCAAGACTGCACTAACAGGGATATACCTACCATTCGTGACACCCTATTAACATTACTCATATATAGAATAGATTGTTCAAAATAGATTTCAATTTTAGACGACATTCAGAAATGAGCGAAAAATTTGAATATAAATACGAATAAATTGAATGAAATACGCCTCCCATATAACCATTCATCTTTTATCCATTCAGATCGCTGAATTTTCAAATGATTTTCAGGCAATAAAATATTTCATGACTGATATAAGCAAACTGAGGAATGTAACATACGGTTTTTTCAACAAAGCATACGGTATGAAAGCTACATAAAATTTATAAACCCGTTGAAATGTACAGTTGAGTTATATTTACATGGGTTTTCATTACGCTCTAACGGTTTCGATCTGCTTGTTACTTTTCGAAAAAAAAAATTGGCACAAAATTTGATAAAACATTATTTTTGAATTGAACTAAGATAACTCACAATTTTTCTGATATCTTTACTTATCATATCTTCCTTTATCTTCAAGTAATTATCGACTATGACGTATGTGTTGTAGTCTGCATTATACCAGCATCTATCACAAGATTGGAGTTACAGATTTAATCGCTGATGCAAACTAACTACAGCATCCCCTACAATCCAAATTTATGGTCCTAAAAAGTGGCTCTATCGGATAGGAGCATCATCGGATTAGAACAACATGAAGATGACTATGTGAGAGAGCACAAATGATCAGCGGTTACATTTTCACCGATTTGGCAATCAGTGAGGGCAATTTTAAGCACCACACCAATAAGCAAACTAGTTTTTTAGATATCGAAATGTTCTTACCGGTTGCAACATACGATTAAAAGGTATACCAGGGCAACTCCGAATATCATGAATTCTCCAATGATCTGAGACGTTTCTTTATTTCTTTGATATGTTTCTGAGAATGGCACTGGGATAGAAAACAGCAGACATATTAACAACTTAATATCCTTAACCAATGCCAAGCAAAATGTGAAATTCAAATAAATATATATACTAAGGGAACTTGGATATTGTGTATTGAACTGCAGGTCCTTTCTCCTTGTTTACTTTCTACTTCGGTTCCGTATGTGGTACTCACCACAAGGATGCTTGAACGAGATAGTATTAAAGTGATAAGTAAAAATAACATGATCTCTTTCAACGAAATAGTAAGTATATTTGTGAGTTTTCGTTTAGATCATGGTCTAACTTCTTCAAACGATACAAGATATAACTGTAAATATAAAGATCACAAGAATTTAATTATTTTAAAATTATGTTTTCTATAAACTGATTTAGATGCTATGGTAATTTAATCCATATCATCTCAGAACTGTCGGTCTAACTGATGTGGTTGGGTTGAAGTTCGTCTATTTGTGTGGTTTCCTTTGTTTGCTTTTGAACCATGTTTGTTTGTTTTACTTAAATATATATAAATAACAATAGGACGTGTACGTAATACTTACACTGATCTTTTCTTGTCTTGCTAACAATGGTACAATTCTCCGTGTAAGGAATGCAGGTGACAGCACATGCGCCATAATCTCCATCAAACAAAGATAGTGCGAACCAAACAATTATCACTGCGAATGCCTAAAAATTCAAGTTTCTTCATAAAGTATTCAATGGTATAATGTTTAGAAACTATATTCTGTAGTGGTGATATCAATATTGCCAAAAAAACAGAATTCGATTTTTAGTTGAACTGTAAAACACATACATGAACTCATAGAATGAAACATGATAGGCTTGTATTTCGTACACTTGGAAATAAAGCAAGTAGTCGACTTCTTATGTTTATTCTCTTCTGGGTAACTATGTAAGTTTTCTCTCATTTTTCTAAATTTTTAGGTTTGCTTACTTGAGCATTAGCTTGAAACCATTTCTTTCCTCTAGCATCATGGACGCCATCTAGTGCACAACAGCAACAACACCAGAACACCGAAAAGCAATTTTTCTTTTTGCTTTTCCTTCTGCATATTCCTTCAAATTGAAATAAAAAAAAGGTAAAAGAGAAAATGTGGAATTCAAATTTTTCGAGTTGTAGAACGGTAAATCGTTTTAATCGCATTTAATGCTGTTTTGTTTTCTGCTGCTCAAGACGCCAAGTCCTATTCAAGGGTGACTGATATGAGGTAATAGTGCTGATTTTTTACATTTTGAAAATGAAATTTACCCATGAACAGATTCCAGACGCCGTTGTCTTGAGCCAGGCTTAGAAGATACAACGAGAATGCAGGGATGAGAAAGAACAGCAAGCTATAGAAGAAGTTCCAATCTACTGCAAACATTAAAAATAGGGAATTTTTTTATATTTTTTTCAAACTAAGTTGGAAATTTCTGAGGTAATAATTGGCTACTCACAGCATGTCTGCGTGTCGGTTCTGCAAGGACATCGAAATATTTCATCCACGAATATTTTTTCAAGTAGAGCCATCGCAATAAAAGCAGTAGCTTTCAGAATTGGAGATAATGTGGTTTTTCTTGCTCCATCCAGATATTGTTTGAGCATGGCATGTGGAAGTCTCGATGGTGAAGCGGACATAATTGTATTTGGAGAGTGTGCAATATGGACGCAACAAGTAAATCGTTTTTCCAACTTTACAACTACATAATTTAAATGTGAAATGTGTAATATTTACGACTTTATGACGACACGCAGATTCACAAAAACACAGACAAAAGATACCTCTCGAGAAAAGTTACATTAATTATTCGATTTTTTTGTCTCTTAACACGTCCCGATGTAAAGTATTGATACCTATTGTTTACATCGATCTTATAAAGCAGGGGTTTCAACATTATCAGTGGCGCGAATCCTCAATAGAACATTCCGGAGGTGCGAGGAACCCAAGTGTAACACTTGTAGGGCTTTATGTAAGAAGAATTATATGTACTATAAATATATAAAAAATTAAGCCTGGTGCTTTTAGAACAAAATGATCTTAAAATGTTTAATATTAGTGATAAGCCAAATGTGATTATATTCATAGAATATTCATATAATAATATAATATACACCAGGGTGGTCCAAACCAAGACCGCGGTCCATATGTGGCCCACCGTTTCCTATCTGTCAAAAAATCACATTAGGCCTGTTTCGGCATAAAAATAACTAGAAAAATCTTCTGACATATTGTTACATAACTAATGTCACTGTCACACAATTGAGTGTTGAGTAGTGTTATGGTCAGCTGAGGCAACTGGCAAGGTTGAATAGAGTGCTTGGCTAGTCTAAATTGTTAACTAGCTGTCTATAGTTTTTGTCGTGAATATATGATAATAAAATAGGCTTCATAGAAAGATAAAATCGTAAGAGAAATTCATTAGCCTAGGTTGGTTATGCAGGACAACTGAATATTAATGTAATGGCTACACAATATAATTCATGTCGGGTGTTTTTTTTGCAACCAGCCAACAGTATTACAAAAAAATGCTGCCTATATGTCAGAAAATTTAGTAATTACCCTCCTGTATCTCAAATTTGGCGAAATTCGTTAATCAATCAATCTGCAGTTATATGTATGTTATTTTGAAAATATGAGTTCAAAAAGAAAGCTGACGAATTGAAACAGACAATCTAAAACGGCATTTGTTGGAACTTTCTACGTTATGTGTTTAAACCACAGTAAATGTAGATACAGTAAGATTTTTGCACGCTTTAGTCAGTTTTTAAGAATTTTCGCATGTTTTGCTTGATAAATGACAAATATTGATCAATTAAGTGGTTGTTTTGTATTGCACTGTTTACCTATCCTTGGCACTATTATGGCCCGCGAACAATACAAAAATATCAGTGTGAACCGCGAAGCCTAAAACCTAGACTAACGGATTTAAAAAACCTGCGAAACCCCTGGACTGCACCGACAGAACCCTGGTTAAAACCATCGCAATAAACTAACTTTGGCCTAATTAGAAAGGATTCTATATATCATACGACATTGACAACTTGACAAATACGACTTCTACACCAATTTATGAGAGCGTCATTCGATGCCACACAGTATTATATTACACAATCTGATTCTATTGCCTTTGTTTTCAAACCGGCGCTTGGGAAACACAATTGGTGGCAAACAAAACGGAACTATATGCCACCAAGAACTACGTTGTATATATATACCAAAATATCATATAATTTAAACAGCCGATCTCGCAAGATTGAGTGCCACTAAGGTTATTGATACTTTTTAACCAGTTGTACCAGACTACAGTAACATTGCAATGGTTATCTCTATTCGTATCGCATTCTAACCGCTTCATTTTCAATCCATACTGATCTCCACCCCCCTGTATTTTCAAATTTGGCCTTCAATGAATTGCTAAGGTTGGATGCGCTTCGGTTAATTCTGCAAATTTATACAAATAAATATTCAAGACTCGCGCTTTTCAGTCAACTGTGAAACACTGTGTATGATCTATCTCAACGGTGCATAACCTGCGGCCGTACGGCCGTCGTGAAAAATAATGAGGCCGTCCACATACAAAATCCTATGAAAAAAAAATGTCCAAATATAGGATTTGGTAGCTATGCTGGCGTATATTGGAGCAAAACAGAAGCACTGCAAAAAAGTATATCCAGTGCTACAAGAATTGACAAGAAAAACTTTCGTTCTTTTTGGAAGCACTTACACGTACAAAGCAACGTTTTCAAGAATGAAGTACCTGAAGAATGAGTACCGAATCAGATTGTTAGACGTCAATCTGGAGTGTGAACTAGGGCTGATGGTATCCAAAGTGAGTAAGTGACTATAACACAAGTGAGGACATGCATTGGTAACGGTATAAGCGCGTGTGTGACGTCACACCCGTCATTTTGGGTCCAGAATACTATCGCTGTGTGATTCTGACTAAGTGATTTAAACCTGTGTTCGTTGAACATTTGAATAAAAAAACGATGCTCAATAATTCGGACAAAACTTTCGCAACCGCAAAACGAATGAAAATTCTTCTGAAAAATTAATTTTCCGCAGATGTTTCTTAGATAACTCGGCTCGGCGATATGGTCAGCATATACGAAGTTAAGGTTAACGTCATCTAACTAAACTCGATAAATCAACACCCAATAAGACCAAAATATTAAACAAAAAGATACACATTTTATTATAAAAATTCCTGATGTAAGTATCGCTAATTACACAGAACCCTATTTTAACAAACTGACAGAACTACAATACAAATTACACTACACAAAATTTTCAACACGGTGTACTTTGCCAAAATATATAAAAAAAATATACAACATGCATGGAATGAAGAATAACAGCATATATCAAGGTTACAAGAACATCTAAAAATCCGGAGTGTATAAAATAATATATTATCTATTTGACTGGAGCTTATTAAGAATACGTTTCAAAATTTTAAAAGCGACATTGTGACAAGATGGGAAATTCTATTTCAAGCAGTCAACTTTATCTGTCAGAAAAGTAACTGGCGAACATATATTAATAAAGGCATTAATATTGGTGCGATATATAGTTTATACTCCGCGCAAACATACGACCGCTTTTTGGATGGGTGGCATAAATATTAGATAAAACTATCGATTTTCAAATTTTCATCATGTGTGTAAGACTGAAAAACGTAAAAGACGTGATGGCGTCGCTAGATCACCTATGAAATAGTTTAAATTTTCCGATGCAAAAGAATCGAAATATTCTGCCAATAAGTTGATAGGTGCTGTAACACCAGACGCGGCGATTGGTCTTCAAATTTTGTCCGTTATAATGTACAACTTGTACACTTGAATGAACTTCATTAGGCCGCACAATGGGCTAGCCATGAGACCGTTTAAATTATATAATTTTTGGAGCAACTGTTGCAACAGCTCGTTAAATCAAGAAAAATTGTCCCGAGAAAATTCGGACATTTCATCAGCTTCTGGAATAATTAATGCAATACGCAGGCTTTAAACTTTCGACATGGTGTGAACAGGTATCACAATACCAGTTCAAATAATACCTGCTTTTTTGTTTGGGATCAAGGGTCTCCAACTCAAAATACGTCACGGGCCACTTCATGAAATTTATCTGCGACGCGGGCCACAAACCAACAAATTAGGAACAAAATTGATACAATAAATATAACAAAAGGAATCTGAATATATTTGTTAAAATTATACTTGAATCTTCCACAAAACGAGACATAAAACATATTCATTTACTTGTGCTGGATATTTGACACTGTTTTGTAGCGATGAAAGACTCGATGTTTTGCCTTATTTTACGTTGGTTTGCTAGTATAAAGACAGCACGCAAACGCTCGTCTGTTAGTCGTGAGCGAAAGGTTCAACAACGCTTGAAAATGCTGATTCGAAAAGGTACGTGGAGGGAACTGCCGTGAGTTAGTTTAATGGCTTAGCAGCATTTTCAGATATGTGTTTTGCATCATCGCCCAGAATTTACTAAGTGTAGCCTATCTAAGTCTATCTCCAAAAATTGTTTTTGCAGACGAATGGTGTATCATTTTCAAAAATTCTTCCTGGTTATCTTCTTAGTCCTCGGAAAAGTCTTGAACGGAAATTTTCTTCGAGAATCGTCGCTAATATCATTCGCCTCACACGTTCGATTTAATGTTAGAAATGCTGTTCCACGCCGACCAGTTTGCATCTTCATTTTTCAGAAATTTAGCTTTGTGATGAAAGCAGCGATTCTGTCTCTTTGTCCAAGTATATTTGAATCTGCTTCTTGTAACTTACGATTTAGTTCGTTCAAATGACAAAACATGTCCACTAGGAACGCCATCTAATTCGAAACAATTCGTCAGAATGATCTTTTTTCTGTCGAGCTACAAGAAACTCCGCAACCTCTGGTAGTAAATGCACAAGTCGAGTCAACATCATTCCTTTCAAGATCCAACGCACAGAAGTATGGAACAATAAGGAATCGTACTTGTTGTGTACTGACTTTTTTATATATTTTATGTTTCCACTAGCTGGCGTTAAGTGTTTACTATTGCATCATTCTTATAGAACCTCATGTGACATTAGTGATTCGGTACGCTGTTATAAGTTTGCTTGCTAAGCGTTGTTATTGTTTGTTTTCATTAAACTGATGTTTCTATCAAGTTGGATTCTTGTATAGTTCATTAGTCAGTGTCAGGGACACAACAGATTGGCGACGAGGATTGGTGATTTTTAACGAGTCGTTGTAAATACGAAATAGTGAAAACAGGCAAATTACGGTAGTAGACTACTGGTGACGTCATATTTTGGAAAAGAAGAAAAGTGTGATAAATGGCTGAATTACATTTACCACCACCGCAATGTTTCTTGCAAAGTCCAGGTGAACCACAAGTACCTTGGAAACGTTGGTACAATAGCTTTGGAACGTATATGAAAACCACTGGACTTGATCAGGAAAATGTATCTGCTGATAAAAAACGTGCAATTCTACTGCATTGTTTAGGCATTGAAGGCCAAAGAATATTTGCTTCGTTATCAGACACAGATACTTATGAACAAGCAGTTGCTGCTCTAGAAAAGCAGTTTGGTAAAAAAGACAGTGTAAAAATGCAAAGACATCTATTTTGGAATAGAAAACAGCATGCTGGTGAGTCAATAATAGAATATGTTGCTGCACTCAGAGAAATAGTGTCAGAGTGTAATTTTGCAGATGTGTCAGATGATATGATCTGTGGTCAAATAATC